ACTGGGCTAATGATAACAATATGATATACAGTGAGGACAAATTTCAGTTACTACGTCACGGAAAGACTGAGGAAATGAAAACAAGATCGGAGTACAAATCGCTCAATAGAGCAAGTCTAATGTGAAAGACCTGAGAGTCAGATCTCACGTTCAAAGAGCACAACAATGCTGTTAGTGTAACTGCAAAGAAAATAATAGGTTGGATAAATAAAACATCCAAAACAAAAGATGTAAAGCTAATGATGACACTCTTCAGGTCACTCGTTCTCTCCAGGTTAGAATATTGCTGTATACTAAAGGTTCCCTTCAAGGCAGGAGAAACTGCAAATATGGAAACTGTACACAGAACCTTCACAGCTCATATAAACTTAATCAAGCACCTAAATTACTGGGGGCTTCTGAAATCCCTCAAATTGTACTCCTTTGAACGTAGGCGAGACACATGATAGTCCACACATTTAAGATTCTGGTGGGACTGGTCCCAAATCTGCACACCGAAATAACTACATCTGGACACAAGAAACCTGGCAGAAGATACCGGATATCTCCGGTGAAAAATAGTGAGCGATGAGTGCACCGAGAGAATTCAGTAAGTGTAAAGGGACCATGACACTTCAACACCCTCCCTCCATGCATAAGAGAGATTACCAAGAGACCTCTGGTTGTCTTTAAGAAGGGACAACAAATTCCTCAAATCAACTCTTGGTCAGAAGATTGACTGGCGGCAAGTACCAACAGCCAGAGTGATCAGGCCAGCAAACAGGGGGCCTGGTCTGGGACCGGACTGCGAGGGTGTTGGCCTCCGGAAGCGACTACAGGTAACCCACAAGTAAGTGCAAAATCAACCAAGCTGTGCTAGATACAAGACTGGCCAGGGAAGGGCTCCGGGAGTAGGAAAACTCTAAACCCATCAAAGGTATAAGAGAGGCAACAAAGGCCGGAGTGTGGGAGGTAGAAGAGTTCTTAAAACCGTTCACAGATATGTCACCTGCAGAGGTATATCTAAATAGCAGGGTGTGAGTGCTACACACTGGTGTATCCTCACCTCCTCCCTACTAACAATATCCTCCACTGCCTCGTTCTTGCCTCTTCTATTTACATCACTGTTCCCAAGTAAAAATAATAGAGAAAAAAGCTTTAATGTTTGTTTACAGTAGTGAAGTGTCCCGTCTCTTACTCACTTTCCTGCGTGCCTGCCTCACTCACGCTCTCAGTGAGGGCGTGTGGTAGGGGTGAGGTTAGGGAGGGATACTGGGGTGTAGAAAAGAGTGGTGTGAGAAGGGATGGGAATAGTGGGGGGAGGGGTAAAAAGAGGTAGTGGAGGAGGGCAAGGGATTGGGGTTGTCCTGCAGTGTCTACGTGAGTGTCTCCCCTACATCAGCCACCCATCAACCCACCTGCCCGCCCGCCGACCCACCCACCCACCCGCCCGTATCTACTGACTTCAGTCAGGGCGTGGCCACCGCACTAACCACATTCTCTCTCACACACTCTTTCTTTCTGATGTAAAAGGGTCGCAAAAATTATCAGGATAGGTATTTAAACCCAGAGAGGCAGCGAGGGAGTGAGTACCTTGCTCAGGGTCACTAATCTGCCTGACCCACTACACTACATATTACATCATACTTTCAAATCATTCGCACAACATCTCCTACATACCTGTGACTGGTTTCCAGGATTCCTGTCCTTACAGCCCGCCCTGAGGGCTGGTGTTGACACCTCTAACCTCAAAATCTTGATTATTTACCTCACATTTCCCATCTATTGGTATCTGCGAGTGTTGAGGTCTATCTACTAGCATATACACCTCTGTGTATATATACAGATACACTTGTGTATATATATAAATATACAACTCTATGTATAACTACCCTACCTTGGGGATTATTATTATTATTAAAGATTAGCCGGTATTCTCCCGGCCCGGGCCTTTTCCAAGTGGTGGCCCGGCCTTGGCTCCCTTCTTTAGGGAGTGTCTGAGACCTAAGTCTCCCATGGGAGGAGGCACAAGTACCTCCTCATCTTTGGGACCAACTGTCCCCAGGCCTAGCCACAAGCTAGGCCTCTCTGGTCTGCCATCCCCGCCCCAAAGGGGCAAATGGGAATGACAGTCTTATGAGCTAAAGGCTCGGGCTCAGGCACCTACCCTACCCTAGAAGAGTTAGGCATGGTGTCGATCCTACCTTGGGGAAGGATGACTGTAGACTGTATCACATTTCACACAAATAAATACGAACGTAGGATATGAATATGTAAATAAATTTAAATGGCTTTCTTTCGTATGATGAAAATATTCTTTAAAAAAGTATTTGCAGTTCTATAAATAGTTGGCGAGCTTGAATAATAATAATAACAGTAGTAGTAATAATAATAATAATAATAATTCCACATGCCGGATAATTTTTACAAATGTTTCAGCTACTCCCACAAGAAGCAACGTTCACAATTGACAGATCTGACATTTAATAATGTTACAATATATATTTTTTTTCTGTCATCAAATATTTGAGCTATTAATGTGTCAGAGTTATCTTGTCTTATTAATTTTGAAATTAAGATGCATTTGGGCGTCTTATCATGAGTGACAATGAATTATAATGTAACACTTAAATTATTTTACATCTCATTATTTGCAATATGTAACATTCACAGTGTATAAAGTAACAGGGTAGAATATGAGGTAGACAGAGTAGACGGGGCGGAGGTGAGGCAAAGTAGTTAGGAGAGGTGAGGTAATAAGGTGTGAACCCCCTGGGAGGAGGTGAGGTAAGGCAGTGAGGTGAGATAGTGAGGAGAGGTGAGGTAATAAGGTGTGAACCCCCTGGGAGGAGGTGAGGTAAGGCAGTGAGGTGAGGTGAGATAGTGAGGAGAGGTAATGTAAGGTGGTGAGGAAAGGCAGTGAGGCGAAGTCGAGTGATGAGGTAGGGTCTACCTGGAGGCTATTCGGGGGGGGGGGAGGGTGTCAACGCTTCCTCGGCCATGTTCATGACCAGGCCTCCCGGTGCATCAGGGCCTGGTCAACCAGGCTGTTACTGCTGACCACACGCAATACAACGTATGAACCAGCCCGGCTGGTGATGCATTGACTTTAGGCATCTGTCCAGTTTCCTCTTGAAGACAGACAGGGAAATGAACTGAGGAAGGAAGGAGAGGTAAAAAGATGAGGCCAGGTAAGGTAAGGAGGAAGGTCGAGAGGTAAATTAAGGATGATATGAGCTAAGAAGGACAATGCTGAAATAGAGGAGCAGGTGACATCACAGGACAAATGGGTCACTGCCCCGGTCTCAGACCCACAGGAGTGCTGGAAGCTCCACCCCCTGGAGGTTACCTGGAGATTATTCTGGGGATCAACGCCCCCGCGGCCCGGTCCATGACCAGGCCTCCCGGTGGATCAGGGCCTGATCAACTAGGCTGTTACTGCTGGCCGCACGCAGTCCAACGTACGAGCCACAGCCCGGCTGATCCGGCACTGACTTTAGGTATCTGTCCAGCTCTCTCTCTTGGCAGTCAGGGGTTTATTGGTAATTCCACTAATGTTTGATGGGAGGCTGTTGAACAGTCTTGGGCCCCGGACACTTGTGGTGTTTTCCCTTAGTGTACCAATGGCGCCCCTACTTTTCATTGCGGGTATTTTGCATCGCCTGCCCAGTCTTTTACTTTCGTAGGGAGTGATTTCTGTGTGCAGATTCGGGACCATTCCTTCCAAGATTTTCCAAGTGTAGATTATGATATATCTCTCCCTCTTGCGTTCCAACGAGTACAAGTCAAGTGCTTCCAAGCGTTCCCAGTAGTTAAGGTGCTTGACAGAACTTATACGTGCAGTAAAGTATCTCTGTACACTCTCTAGATCTGCTATTTCACCTGCTTTGAATGGAGATGTTAATGTACAGCAGTATTCCACTACCACCTCCTTAACTTCGACTTCCCCACTATACCACTACCGTCTCACCCACCCCGGACTTCCAGCTTCCGCCTGCAGTGCGGCTAGCATCAACAGCCTGGCTGATCAGGTCATCCACCGGGAGATCTGGTCTAGGACCGGGCTCCCGCGGTCCGCTCTTAAACCACTAATAATACAAACGGAATTATCACCTGTGCACTAAACCAGACACTGTTTACACAGTAAGATTGATCATATTTCTACTTGTTGCTCATTAACTGTCTTGTTTATTCCCGTTTACCACCTGTTAACCACCTGTTGCCTGTTCACTACATGTTAGTCATCTGTTACTTACCTGCTGACTACCAGTTAGCCATCTGTTACCTTTTACTACATGTTAACCATCTATTGAATACCAATTAACAGTTTACTACCCGCTAACCACCTGTTGGCTATCTGTTTACCTGCTGACTACCTGTTAACTTGCTGTCTGCTGACTACCATTTCAAGGGAGGGGAATTAGCATATCTGGAGAATGTTCGGAGAACCTTCACTGCTCGCATAAATTCAGTCAAGCACTTAGGTCTACCTGGAGTCTACGTGGAGGGCATTCCAGAGATCAACGTCCCCGCGGCCCGGTCCATGATCAGGCTTCCCGGTGGATCAGGGCTTGATCAACGAGGCTGTTACTCAAGTGCTTGAAGCACATGAAGTCCATCGAACTGTGCTTCTTGGAGCGTAGGCGAGAAAGATTCAATATTATAATTTACACCTGGAAACTTTTGGAGGGACTCATTCGAAATGTGCACACCGAAATCACTCCTTACGAAAGCACGAGAAGGGTTGCAAAGTGGCACGGCCAATATAAGTTCTCTCTACAGTCTCTAGGCACGCAATTCTGCTTGATCCAAAATGGGTTAGTCTCTCGTCTTAGCTTGAGGACCAGTCTGGTTGTAAACCTTGATACTGTTTCAAGATTCTTAAAAGACGCTTCACCAAGTGGGGCTCCAGGCTGATGATGCGTATTCTAAGATGAGGAATGACGTGCGCTGTGTACACACCTTAAAAATATAAGCCCAACGGTGTGTGTGCGCGCGCGCGCTCACCTATTTGTACTCACCTCTATGTGGCTGCAAGGGTCGAGTCACAGCTCCTGGCCCCGTCTCTTAGCTGTTCGCTGCTAAGAGACGGGGCTCATGGTCGAGGCTCCATGAGCTTTATCGTATGTCTTCTTAAAGCTATGTATGGATCTCCCTATTGTTTTAATATATTATATATTATATAAGTACAGTAGTTGATGAATCTATTTAAGTATAGATTACTTGATGATACAATAAATAATATAAATACTGTTAGTCGAGCACATTTAACCACTTATGTCTGCAAGGTATAATCCCCGTCCGCACTGTACACGCAGACACCTTATTGAGCTCGTACATGACATTTACCGTAATGCAAGCAGCAATTAACTGCACCCGTTCACTGTACACTCACTACCAACCAGTATGCAACTTACACCATGTACACTGCCAACCCGCCACAAGTACACTGCCACCACGCCACCACCAGTACGACTGCACAGCCCACCACCAGTACACTGCACACCCGCCACCACCATACACTGCACAGCCCGCCACACCATTACACTGCCATCACCCGCACACCAGTACACGTCACCACCGCCACACACATACACTGCACACACCTCCCACACCGTACACTGCCACACCCGCCACCACCAGTACACTGCCACACCCGCCACCACCAGTACACTGCCACACCCGCCACCACCAGTACACTGCCACCCCCGCCACCACCAGTACACTGCCACACCCGCCACCACCAGTACACTGCCACACCCGCCACCACCAGTACACTGCCACCCCGCCACCACCAGTACACTGCCACCCCGCCACCACCAGTACACTGCCACACCCGCCACCACCAGTACACTGCCACACCCGCCACCACCAGTACACTGCCACCCCGCCACCACCAGTACACTGCCCCCCGCCACCACCAGTACACTGCCACCCCGCCACCACCAGTACACTGCCACACCCGCCACCACCAGTACACTGCACAACCCCGCCACCACCAGTACACTTCCACCCCGCCACCACCAGTACACTGCCACCCCCGTCACACACCAGTACACTGCCAACACCCGACCACCACCAGTACACTGCCACACCGCCGACCACCAGTACACTGCCACCCCCGACCACCGAGTACACTGCCACACCCGCCACCACCAGTACACTGCCAAGCCCCGCCACCACCAGTACACTGCCACACCCGCCACCACCAGTACACTGCCACACCCGCCACCACCAGTACACTGCCACACCCGCCACCACCAGTAACACTGCCACACCCGCCACCACCAGTACACTGCACACCCGCCACCACCAGTACACTGCCACACCCGCACCACCAGTACACTGCCACACCCGCCACCACCAGTACACTGCCACACCCGCCACCACCAGTACACTGCCACTACCCGCCACCACCAGTACACTGCCACACCCGCCACCACCAGTACACTGCCACACCCGCCACCACCAGTACACTGCCACACCCGCCACCACCAGTACACTGCCACACCCGCCACCACCAGTACACTGCCACACCCGCCACCACCAGTACACTGCCACACCCGCCACCACCAGTACACTGCCACACCCGCCACCACCAGTACACTGCCACACCCGCCACCACCAGTACACTGCCACACCCGCCACCACCAGTACACTGCCACACCCGCCACCACCAGTACACTGCCACACCGCCCACCACCAGTACACTGCCACACCCGCCACCACCAGTACACTGCCACACCCGCCACCACCAGTACACTGCCACACCCGCCACCACCAGTACACTGCCACACCCGCCACCACCAGTACACTGCCACACCCGCACCACCACCAGTACACTGCCACACCCGCCACCACCAGTACACTGCCACACCCGCCACCACCAGTACACTGCCACACCCGCCACCACCAGTACACTGCCACACCCGCCACCACCAGTACACTGCCACACCCGCCACCACCAGTACACTGCCACACCCGCCACCACCAGTACACTGCCACACCCGCCACCACCAGTACACTGCCACACCCGCCACCACCAGTACACTGCCACACCCGCCACCACCAGTACACTGCCACACCCGCCACCACCAGTACACTGCCACACCCGCCACCACCAGTACACTGCCACACCCGCCACCACCAGTACACTGCCACACCCGCCACCACCAGTACACTGCCACACCCGCCACCACCAGTACACTGCCACACCCGCCACCACCAGTACACTGCCACACCCGCCACCACCAGTACACTGCCACACCCGCCACCACCAGTACACTGCCACACCCGCCACCACCAGTACACTGCCACACCCGCCACCACCAGTACACTGCCACACCCGCCACCACCAGTACACTGCCACACCCGCCACCACCAGTACACTGCCACACCCGCCACCACCAGTACACTGCCACACCCGCCACCACCAGTACACTGCCACACCCGCCACCACCAGTACACTGCCACACCCGCCACCACCAGTACACTGCCACCCCGCCACCACCAGTACACTGCCACACCCGCCACCACCAGTACACTGCCACACCCGCCACCACCAGTACACTGCCACACCCGCCACCACCAGTACACTGCACACCCGCCACCACCAGTACACTGCCAACCCGCACCACTACACTGCCACACCGCACCACATACACTGCCAACCCCACCACCAGTACACTGCCACCCGCCACACCAGTACACTGCCACACCGCCACCACAGTACACTGCCACACCCCGCCACCACCAGTACACTGCCACACCGCCACCACCAGTACACTGCCACACCCGCCACCACCAGTACACTGCCACCCCGCCACCACCAGTACACTGCCACACCCGCCACCACCAGTACACTGCCACACCCGCCACCACCAGTACACTGCCACATCCGCCACCACCAGTACACTGCCACCCCGCCACCACCAGTACACTGCCACACCCGCCACCACCAGTACACTGCCACACCCGCCACCACCAGTACACTGCCACACCCGCCACCACCAGTACACTGCCACACCCGCCACCACCAGTACACTGCCACACCCGCCACCACCAGTACACTGCCACACCCGCCACCACCAGTACACTGCCACCCCGCCACCACCAGTACACTGCCACACCCGCCACCACCAGTACACTGCCACACCCGCCACCAACCAGTACATACATGCCACCCCCGCCACCACCAGTACACTGCCACACCCCGCCACCACCAGTACACTGCCACACCCGCCACCACCAGTACACTGCCACACCCCGCCACCACCAGTACACTGCCACCGCCACCACAGTACACTGCCACCCCGCCACCACCAGTACACTGCCACACCCGCCACCACAGTACACTGCCACACCCGCCACCACCAGTACACTGCCACACCCGCCACCACCAGTACACTGCCACCCCGCCACCACCAGTACACTGCCACCCCCCTACACTGCCACCCCCCACCAGTACACTGCACAACACACACCACCCGCCACCAGTACACTGCCACACCCGCCACCACCAGTACACTGCCACCCAACCGCCACGCACACCAGTACACTGCCACCCCACCCCGCCACCAACAGTACACTGCTACACCCACCCGCCACCACCAGTACACTGCCACACCGCCACCACCAGTACACTGCCACACACCGCCTGCCACCCCACACCAGTACACTGCCACACCCGCCACCACCAGTACACTGCCACCCCCGCCACCACCAGTACACTGCCACACCCGCCACCACCAGTACACTGCCACCCCCGCCACCACCGATACACTGCCACACCCGCCACCACCAGTACACTGCCACCCACCCGCCACCACCACGTACACTGCCACACCCGCCACCACCAGTACACTGCCACCCGCCACCACCATACACTGCCACCCGCCCACCACCAGTACACTGCCACACCCGCCACCACCAGTACACTGCCACCCCGCCACCACCAGTACACTGCCACCCCGCCCCACCAGTACACTGCCACACCCGCCACCACCAGTACACTGCCACCCCCGCCACCACCAGTACACTGCCACACCCCGCCACCACCAGTCACACGCCCACAGTACATCCACCCGCACACCAGTACACTGCCACCCCGCCACCACCAGTACACTGCCACACCCGCCACCACCACTCACACCGCCACCAGCCCCCGCCACCACCAGTACACTGCCACCCCCGCCACCACCAGTACACTGCCACCCCACCACCGTACACTGCCACCCCGCCACCACCAGTACACTGCCACCACCCGCCACCACCAGTACACTGCCACCCCCGCCACCACCAGTACACTGCCACCCCGCCACCACCAGTACACTGCCACCCCCGCCACCACCAGTACACTGCCACACCCGCCACCACCAGTACACTGCCACACCCGCCACCACCAGTACACTGCCACACCCCGCCACCACCAGTACACTGCCACACCCAACCGCCACCACCAGTACACTGCCACACCCGCCACCACCAGTACACTGCCACACCCCGCCACCACCAGTACACTGCCACCCCGCCACCACCAGTACACTGCCACCACACCCGTACACCACCGACCAGTACACTGCCACCGCACCCACTGCCCCACCACCAGTACACCCACCGCCACCACCAGTACACGCCACCGCACCAGTACACTGCCACCCCGCACACATACACGCCACGCACCAAGTACACTGCCCCAACATACCGCGCCACCACCAGTACACTGCCACACCCGCCACCACCAGTACACTGCCACACCCGCCACCACCAGTACACTGCCACACCCGCCACCACCAGTACACTGCCACACCCGCCACCACCAGTACACTGCCACACCCGCCACCACCAGTACACTGCCACCCCCGCCACCACCAGTACACTGCCACACCCGCCACCACCAGTACACTGCCACACCCGCCACCACCAGTACACTGCCACCACCCGCCACCACCAGTACACTGCCACACCCGCCACCACCAGTACACTGGCCCACAAGCCCGCCACCACCAGTAACACCTGCCACCACCGCCGCCACCACCGAAGTACACTGCCACACCCGCCACCACCAGTACACTGCCACCCCCCCCGCCACCACCAGTACACTGCCACCCCCGCCACCACCAGTACACTGCCACACCCGCCACCACCAGTACACTGCCACCCCCGCCACCACCAGTACACTGCCACACCCGCCATCACCATACACTGCCACACCCGCCACCACCAGTACACTGCCACCCCCGCCACCACCAGTACACTGCCACAACACCCGCCACCCCCAGTACACTGCCCCCCCACCACCGCCACCACCAGTACACTGCCACACCCGCCATCACCAGTACACACTGCCACATCCCCCGCCACCACCAGTACACTGCCACCCCCGCCACCACCAGTACACTGCCACACACCCGCCACCACCAGTACACTGCCACACCCGCCACCACCAGTACACTGCCACACCCGCCATCACCAGTACACTGCACACACCCGCCACCACCAGTACACTGCCACACCCGCCACCACCAGTACACTGCCACACCCGCCACCACCAGTACACTGCCACACCCGCCACCACCAGTACACTGCCACCCCCGCCACCACCAGTACACTGCCACACCCGCCACCACCAGTACACTGCCACACCCGCCATCACCAGTACACTGCCACACCCGCCACCACCAGTACACTGCCACCCCCGCCACCACCAGTACACCTAATATTCCCATCTCATACACTTAACCAGTGTTCTAGCACATTCATACTGAAGATAGTTCTTAAGTCACATGGATATATTAATAATATTTTAAGGTATGCTCTTAAACTATTATCTATGCTCCACCATTATGCTTAGTTCTCATTATGGTTATCAAGTAACTACAAAAAATACGATAGAAAAACCATAAGAGAATGTTAGGAGGGGGGGGTATGAGAGGGGAAGAGGAGTGTGTCTTGGGACGAGACTTCATGCAGACCGGCTGGGGACGAGCCACCCGCCACATGCAACACCGTAAACATTCTACCATATATGATGATTTCATTATTCCCACAAAATATATATTACATTAAAACCATATATATATAAACAAAGGGAGATGTTAACCAAGGTTCTTACATGAGCTACATAAATTAATGAACAAAAGCACTAGGAGATGAAAAAGAAAGGTAACATTGCCATATGGAGTTCCCACATTTTCTTAGCTCTTGTAAAGATTTTCCATATTCAGCTAAGTCAAAACACTGAATGTTGATAACTATTTCTTAATGTTAAAGTTATTTTAAAATAAAGCCAGTGAGCACGAGACGTTTGAATGAGTGTACCTGAGTGGTGAGGAGTGCATTTCAGTGTAATATGGGGATGGTTGTGAGTCTGTGTTGTGTGCGCTGCTGCCGGAGCCACAACAAACACATTTAATATAATCATTTACACGCCCTCACATTCACCAGTATTAATTCACCAAGAGGAGAGGTTAGTGTCTGCATTTCAAGGCACAGGTACTCTTCCGTTTAGACAACTTGGGTCATCACCTTTCACTGGTCATAGAGTGTTATCCTACCTCAGCTCCGATCATAGCGTGGGCATATCTATGGTATACTACCACCCACAAGGATGCTACCCACAACATCCAGGTACGTCTTTACTGCAGAGATACCTTAAGTTGTCTATGGGAACCACCGTCCCCGCGGCCCTCAACCAGACTTCCCTGAAGACAGTCTGATCATCCAGCTTGTTGGTGCTCGCCGCACGTAGTCACCGCGGCCCGGTTTATCACTTGTCGAAGTCCTGGCTTAGTAAGTGGTCTCTTGAAAAATCTTGGTCCGTTTATATTTATTGAATTATCTCTAACATTCACTGCACCCCTAGTCTACAGCGCGGGTACTTCGCACCGTCACCAGTGTGCGAATGAGGAACCAGTTCTTTAAACGTCATCCATGTAAAAATTATGATGAGCCTTTCTCGCGAGGGACTTCCGACGTTCCACTAACATAAGTTTTTGAACTGATACGAGCGGCGAAATTCCTCTGCATTCTTCAGATCCACAATTTCGCATTTTTAATTAGTGCTGTTAAGTTAAAGGACTCCAACGGAAATAAGTCACTCTGGCTTTTTAGGATTATCCCAGGTTTTCTACACACATGCTGCTATGTATGATAATCTATGTAACTGTATTTGTGTATACCTGAATAAACTTACTAAGTTTGCATCAAGAGTGTACAAGTGCTTTACAGAAGGAAAATTTCACAGCCCCATTAGTTCTCTGGTATGTATCTGCTGAGTTTATGTGCTTCCAGGGAATATTTTAGTACAACGCTGTGATTTGTCATCTTTCATTTCAAATATGGGAGATGGAAATCTCCGAGGAGGAGGATAATAGTTAGTGTGGGATCCTCGAGGTTTTCAAGGTAGTATTTATCTATTTACCTTATCTGTTCAGTGAGCTCAAGTGTTGCTGACGGTGGTTTACATACCAAGGTAATCACTAGATTCCTCTTCTCCATTTTAATATCCAGTACTTCTACTGTATCATTTTTCAACACTTTCAACACTTTTCAAAACTTTCGTACTTCACATAGGACTTCAAGGGGTTCCAATAATTTAAATGCTTTCTTGGCTATATGCAGGTCGTATACGATCTCTATCTGTTCCAGCTCTGATATTTTCCCTGCCCTTAACGGGACCGTCACCAATGAACAATATTCCAAATGTGATTGCACAAGCGATTGAAAGTGTCACCAATGGAACTATTTGCCTTGCTTTGAAAAATCTCATTAACCATCTCGTTATCTTCCTGGCTTACATGGTATTTAGCTTATTGAATTCTTTGAAAGGTCAGCTGACATGATTACTCCCAGGTCTTTCACGTGTTCCTTTGGTTTTATTTGATGGTTCTCTCGAATTCTGTATTGTGTCCCTTTGGATTTCTTTGTTCTTTCCATATCTAAGCAGTTGGAACTTATCACCACTGAACGTCATGTTCTCCCCTGCCCATTGGAAAACACTGCTTATATCTTTCTATATTTTTTCAGTGTCTTCTGCCGAAGTGACTTTCAAACTTATTTTAGTTTCATCTGCAAATGATTATACAAAACTGTCCTGGGTGTGTCGATGTCTGCTCTCAAGATAATAAACAGCAGAGGTGCTAGGACAGTGCCTTGGGGACACCGAGCTTTATTTTTTTTATCTCGCTGATGGGTGGACTTTGCTCAGTTTACTACTACTTTGTGTTTTATGAGCTAGAAACTTGATAATCCATCGGCAGCAAAAAGCATCTTTTACAGAGAGTCCTACTCCTCCCTGTGACCTTTTAGCTCTGTCACATCTATACATATAGCTTTACATGTGATGCTTTACATACACAAATAACCCGCACATAAAAGAAGGCAGTGTAACTTTGTAAATGGTCCAAGTCAGACCGAAACGTCATCGTAAGCTTCTCTGTTTTATGTGCGGGTTATTTGTGTATCGTTCCAGTCAGGGTATTGTGCCTTTCTTTGTTATTGCTGCTTTACATAATAGTGAAGGTTGAATACTACACTAACTGCTTCTACAACTTCATATATGACCTTGATCTTTACACCGCTTAAATAATTGAAAGGTTTCTGTAATTTTACACACGTGAAAAATAACATAACTACAATATGGTGATAAAATTGGTGTTGGGATGGAGGGTTAGGTCCTGGGGGTGGAGGGTGAGGTTGTGGATTGGAGGGTGAGGTTGTGGAGTGGAGGGTGAGGTTGTGGAGTGGAGGGTGAGGTTGTGGAGTGGAGGGTGAGGTTGTGGAGTGGAGGGTGAGGTTGTGGAGTGGAGGATGAGGTTGTGGAGTGGAGGGTGAGGTTGTGGAGTGGAGGGTGAGGTTGTGGAGTGGAGGGTGAGGTTGTGGAGTGGAGGATGAGGTTGTGGAGTGGAGGGTGAGGTTGTGGAGTGGAGGGTGAGGTTGTGGAGTGGAGGGTGAGGTTGTGGAGTGGAGGATGAGGTTGTGGAGTGGAGGGTGAGGTTGTGGAGTGGAGGGTGAGGTTGTGGAGTGGAGGGTGAGGTTGTGGAGTGGGAGGGTGAGGTTGTGGAGTGGAGGGTGAGATTGTGGAGTGGAGGGTGAGGTTGTGGAGTGGAGGGTGAGGTTGTGGAGTGGAGGATGAGGTTGTGGAGTGGAGGATGAGGTTTGTGGAGTGGAGGGTGAGGTTGTGGAGTGGAGGGTGAGGTTGTGGAGTGGAGGGTGAGGTTGTGGAGTGGAGGATGAGGTTGTGGATGGAGGTGAGGTTGTGGAGTGGAGGGTGAGGTTGTGGAGTGGAGGGTGAGGTTGTGGAGTGGAGGATGAGGTTGTGGAGTGGAGGGTGAGGTTGTGGAGTGGAGGGTGAGGTTGTGGAGTGGAGGGTGAGGTTGTGGAGTGGAGGGTGAGGTTGTGGAGTGGAGGGTGGATTGTGGAGTGAGGTGAGGTGTGGAGTGGAGGGTGAGGTTGTGAGGTGGAGGATGAGGTTGTGGAGTGAGGATGAGGTGTGAGGTTGAGGGTGAGGTTGTGGATGGTAGTTGTGGAGTGGAGGGTGATTGTGGAGTGGGGTGAGGTTGTGAGTGGAGGGTGAGGTTGTGGAGATGGAGGTGAGCGTTGTGATGTAGATGGTGGGTTGTGGAGTGAGAGTGGTTGAGGTTGTGGAGTGGATGGTGAGGTTCGTGGAGTGCGAGGTGAGGTTGTGGAGTGGAGGGTTGAGGTTGTGCGGTGGAGGGTGAGTTTGTTGGAGTGGAGGATGAGGTTTTGTGGATGACGGGAAGAGGTTGTGTGAGTGGATCGTGAGGTTGTTGGACTGAGGGTGAGTTGTGGTATGCTAAGGTGAGGTTGTTGGAGTGGAGGATGAGGTTGTGGAGTGCGAGGTGCGGTTGAGATGAGTGAGGTTCTTGTGTTGAAGTGATCTTTATCGTAATATTCTGAGTTGTTACTGGAAGGTATTTGGAGTGGAATATTCTGATTGCTTGATTTAGGTATTGTATCTGATATTTGTGTTGGTTTAGTTGTGGAAGTGTAGGGTAGGTTGAATAGTCGTATGTTATTTAATATTCTATCTTTACGTTAATATTAGTCTATCTGAATAGTTCGATTCTTATCTGTAAAGTCGATTCTTTATCTAATACTATTCGTTTATCTAATATTCGATTCTTATCTAATATTTATTCTTATCTTAAATTCTATTCTTTATCTAATTTCTATTTCATCTTAATATTCTATCTTTTTTCTTAATATTCATTCTTATCTTAATATTGCTATTCCTACTTAAATTCTATTCTTTATCTTAATATTCATTTCTTTATCGTCCACCCCATTCAAGAACACTTCTCGTTATGTTTACGTCTTACACCCCACCCACCCCACCACCACTGCCGAAATTCCTCTTCCCGGAGGGGACGGACATTGGCTTGGGGGGAGGTGCCAGAGCTAGGAGCCGAGGACCCCGCCCCTGAGCTGGCCGAGCTGCTTCTGCTCTTAGTGGTGTGGGCGGGTGGAGGGGACGACTTAGCCGAGCAGCGGGCGGCCGTGGGGGACAAGGGCGGCTGGTGTGCCGCCCTGGGAGAGAGGGCGGGCAGTGAGATACCAACATCACAGTTCAAAGTTAAACCCTGAGTGGGGCGGGGAATTCCCTGAGATGAACGCTTGGCGAGAGTGGGCGTGTGCCCACCGGTGGGCAGGTGGGCGTCCGAGTGGGCGAATTTGGTGGGCGTGGTGGGAAGCAAGGAGGTGGGGTCAATGTTGTTGTTGGTGTGGTGTAGTTCTGCCTTCCTTCGCAACTCCTCCCCCACCACCCGCCGCACCCCGTTCACCCGTTCCGGCCGCACACCCCCGTTAACGCGCCCGTTTACACTCCCGTTAAAACACTTAATGCCATTTTTCCCGAAGATGCGTCCAACACCGTTTTGTAAGGAATCTTTAGTGAGACCATTGTTTGTGTGGTTGAGGGCGTGGTTGTTGGGTCTAGAGGCCTTCTCCCCCGCCACCGCCCCCGTCAACGTCGCCAGCCTATGCAACAACGCCGCCGCTTCCCCGTTAACACCGCCGTTGACACAGCCGTTGAGGCGTCGCACGCCGTTAATGGGCGAGGGTGGCGGTGATGGCCTCGCTAACTTAATGCGCCTTTCCGCGCCCATACTGACCTCCTCGCCTGACCGCTTGCGCACCTGGCCCGCCTGCAGCCGCCTGCGGCGATGCGCGGCGTCGTGCGGGGCACTGCGGCGCGTGGCCCGCACCGGGAGGTGGGCGGTGTCTGGCGGGCGGTCCTTGTGGGGAGTGTGGCCCACTTGGCCGCCCGGGCCAAACCCACCCATCAGGCGGTCACCATCGTGACCAGCCTTACGCCCCATGCGCACGCCCGACCCATCATTGGGCGCCATGCAGGTTAGCTGATGCACATGATGAGGAGTGGTGGGCGAGGGCGTGGTGTGGGGTGAATCTGCCGTGGGCGTGGGCGCAGGCGTGGGGCAGCAGTCGTCGAGGTCTTCCTCAGGGCGGGGTGGGGGTGAGCTTGTGAGCGAGGAGCAAGGTGAGGACGCACTCCACTCTCCTCCAACACCACTGTAACATAACAATAACAACGTTACACTCTGTAAATACAAATAAAACAATAACAATAACGTTACACTGTTGAACACCACTCTAACAACGTTACATTATACACCACTGTAACAACGTTATACCGTTAAACTCCATTGTAACAACGTTACACTGTTATACACCAGTAACAACGTTACACTGCTAAACACCACTGTAACTGCAACATTGTTACACTGTTATACACCACTGTAACTGCAACACTGTTACACTGTTATACACCACTGTAGCACCATTACACTATTAATACCACTGTAACAACGTTACACCCTTTAAAAACCCTTATACCTCTGATGAGTTTCGAGAGTCTTTCTACTCCGAGCCCGGCCATAGGCCAGGCTTGTCTGGTGCTAGCCTGGTCAACCAGGCTGCTGCCCCCATATCCATCACAGCCTGGTTGATCTGGCACCTGAAGATACTTGTCTGGTTTCCTTTTAAAGGCTTCTACACTTGATCCAGCAGTGTTTCTGCTACCTTTTGGCAAAATGTTGAATAGTCTGGGGCCACGAATGTTGATACAGTGTTCCCTTACTGTGCCCATCGCACCCCTGCTTTTCACTGGGTTTATTTTATACTTCCTCCCATATCTCTCACTCCACTATGTTATGGCAGTGTGGAGATTTGGGACAAGGTCCTCAAGTATTTCCCAAGCATAGATTATCATGTATCTATCTGTCCTTCGCTCCAGCGAGTACATATTTAGGACCTCAATGCGTTCCCAGTAATTTAAAGGCTACATTGGCTCCCTGCGGGCCGTAAACGATCTCTGTATATGTTCCGGCTCAGATATTTCTCCTGCCCTGAACGAGGCCGCCAACACTGAACAATGGTGGGTATTACTATGTGGTATTACTATGCTATCTTGTCCCCCCTAAACCTTATACAGACTGTCTTCTCTCATATTCATGTATTTGAAGTGACTAAGGTCCAAGGAGCGAAACGTCTTCAATAAAGATGGTGTACGTGAATGCATTACTATCCATTGCTAACTACTAGGTAATTATCTGCTTTCTTCAACGTTACACTCATAAACCACTGTAACACTACAACGTTACACTCATAAACCACTGTAACACTACAACGTCACACTCATAAACCACTGTAACACTACAACGTCACACTCATAAACCACTGTAAACTACAACGTTACACTCATAAACCACTGTAACACTACAACGCCCACACTCATAAACCACTGTAACACTACAACGTTACACTCATAAACCACTGTAACACTACAACGTCACACTCATAAACCACTGTAACACTACAACGTCACACTCATAAACCACTGTAACACTATAACGTTACACTCATAAACCACTGTAACACTACAACGTTACACTCATAAACCACTGTAACACTACAACGTCACACTCATAAACCACTGTAACACTACAACGTCCACACTCATAAACCACTGTAACACTACAACGTTACACTCATAAACCACTGTAACACTACAACGTTACACTCATAAACCACTGTAACACTACAACGTCACACTCATAAACCACTGTAACACTACAACGTTACACTCATAAACCACTGTAACACTACAACGTTACACTCATAAACCACTGTAACACTACAACGTTACACTCATAAACCACTGTAACACTACAACGTTACACTCATAAACCACTGTAACACTACAACGTTACACTCATAAACCACTGTAACACTACAACGTTACACTCAGTATTACAGAACTTTTTATATACCTTTGATGAGTTTCCAGAGTCTTTCTACTCCCGCTCTACTTACTCAATACAAGTTTATACAAAACTGAGGCTAATACACACATGATTATAGCAAAGCCTACATTACGCAACGTTTCACTCGAAGCTGAGCTTTATCAGCTCAAAGGCACGAGCGAAACGGATACAAAGACTAACTGACGATAGCAATGAAAAGCACGACAGGTGCAGCTCAAACCTTCGTGACAACGTTTCTCATTTTATATTGATCTTCAACAGTGACCTGATACAGCTCTACACAGAGTGAAACGTTCCCACAGTAATAACTTGCTCTTCACCTGTGCCTTCTCTTCTTCACTATAAACCGACAGCACTGACGTCCCAGTGTTAAAATCTTTGAAACAAAGTTTTAAAAGGCAAGATCACAAACCACACCAACAGCCTGGTTGACCAGGCAAGCACCAGACGAGCCTGGCCCATGGCCGGGCTCAGAGAATAGAGAAACTCTCGAAACTCTTCAAAGGTATATACATGGATTCACAAAACTGGCACAACCCAGGGCTGCAACTTGCTGTTGTCTCTCTTCACCTTGCACCTCCCCCTTTTCTCTCTTTTGCTACAAAACTATTCTCCCTACTTTCTATCTATTTCTTCTACTACTATCTCCATTACCTACCTACCACTACTTCCTTTTCTCCCTCTCTTCTTCCCGTCCCTTTTCCCACTCTCTTATTTAATATTGCCTACCTCACTCTGTTCTAGCGGAAGGCCTCGGTCAATTGACCAAAAGCTCCAGCTGTGGGTCATCATATGATCAAGACCCGCGTCAGGAAACATTTGTCTTGTTTCCTGACGAATCTTTCCTAGCTCTTTTCTGCTAGTATAACTTTGTAAATGGTCCAAGTAAGACCGAAACGTCGTCGTAAGCGAGTTATTTGTGTATTGTTCCAGTCACGGTACTGTGCCTTTTTATTCTTCATTATGACATAGTACTGTATGCAATGGAAGACAGAATGCAGATGTAGTATAGTATACACAGACTGTCAAAATCTTTGACAAGTGCGACCATGATAACACGTGCGGCCAGCAGTAACAGCCTGATTGATCAGGCCCTGATCCACCGGGAGGCCTGGTCGTGGACCTGGCCGCGGGGGCGTTGATCCCCGGAATAACCTCCAGGTAGGTGGTGTAACAGCTAACAAAATACGTGCAAAAGGAATAACTTGTATAATGAGCTCTTTAACTATACTATTCAGTGCTCTCAGCGAAAAAAAATAAATACAACACACACAAGAACAGCAAAATTAAAATTTGGAAACGAAAAAACAAGTAACCTGAGCAAAAAACACCCAAGACTGTGACCTCTTGGTCATCCACTACAGGTATCCCAAGACTGTGGCCTCTTGGTCATCCACTACAGGTATCCCAAGACTGTGGCCTCTTGGTCATCCACTACAGGAATCCCAAGACTGTGACCTCTTGGTCATCCACTACAGGAATCCCAAGACTGTGACCTCTTGGTCATCCACTACAGGTATCCCAAGACTGTGGCCTCTTGGTCATCCACTACAGGAATCCCAAGACTGTGACCTCTTGGTCATCCACTACAGGAATCCCAAGACTGTGGCCTCTTGGTCATCCACTACAGGAATCCCAAGACTGTGACCTCTTGGTCATCCACTACAGGTATCCCAAGACTGTGACCTCTTGGTCATCCACTACAGGAATCCCAAGACTGTGACCTCTTGGTCATCCACTACAGGTATCCCAAGACTGTGACCTCTTGGTCATCCACTACAGGTATCCCAAGACTGTGGCCTCTTGGTCATCCACTACAGGAATCCCAAGACTGTGACCTCTTGGTCATCCACTACAGGTATCCCAAGACTGTGACCTCTTGGTCATCCACTACAGGTATCCCAAGACTGTGACCTCTTGGTCATCCACTACAGGTATCCCAAGACTGTGGCCTCTTGGTCATCCACTACAGATATCCCAAGACTGTGACCTCTTGGTCATCCACTACAGGTATCCCAAGACTGTGGCCTCTTGGTCATCCACTACAGGTATCCCAAGACTGTGACCTCTTGGTCATCCACTACAGGTATCCCAAGACTGTAGACTCTTGGTCATCCACTACAGGTATCCCAAGACTGTGACCTCTTGGTCATCCACTACAGGTATCCCAAGACTGTGACCTCTTGGTCATCCACTAAAAGGTATCCAAGACTGTGCCCTCTTGGTCATCCACTACAGGTATCCCAAGACTGTGACCTCTTGGTCAACCACTACGGGTACCCCAAAGACTGTGGCCTCTTGGTCACTCACTAAAGGTATCCAGACTTGACCCTCTTGGTCTTCCAAAAAGGTACCCCAAGACTGTGACTCTTGGTCATCCACTACAGGTATCCAAGACTGTGACCTTTTGGGGTCATCCACTACAGGTATCCCAAGACTGTGACTTCTTGGTCATCCACTACAGGTATCCCAAGACTGTGACCTCTTGGTCATCCACTACAGATATCCCAAGACTGACCTCTTGGTCATCCACTACAGGTATCCCAAGACTGTGACCTCTTGGTCATCCACTATAGGTATCCCAAGACTGTGACCTCTTGGTCATCCACTACAGGTATCCCAAGACTTGTCATCCACTACAGGTATCCCAAGACTGTGACCTCTTGGTCATCCACTACAGGTATCCCAAGACTGTGACCTCTTGGTCATCCACTACAGGTATCCCGGTAATTATACAAGTTCCATGAGAACCCTACAGGTATCCCGGTAATTATACAAGTTCCATGAGAACCTTACAGGTATCCCGGTAATTATACAAGTTCCATGAGAACCTTACAGGTATCCCGGTAATTATACAAGTTCCATGAGAACCTTACAGGTATCCCGGTAATTATACAGTTCATGGAACCTAAGGTATCACGGTAATTATAAAAGTTCCATGAGAACCCTACAGGTATCCCGGTAATTATAAAAGTTCCATGAGAACCCTACAGGTATCCCGGTAATTATACAAGTTCCATGAGAACCTTACAGGTATCCCAGTAATTATACAAGGTCCATGAGAACCTTACAGGTATCCCGGTAATTATACAAGCCCCATGAGAACCTTACAGGTATCCCGGTAATTATACAAGCTCCATGAGAACCTTACAGGTATCCCGGTAATTATACAAGCTCCATGAGAACCTTACAGGTATCCCGGTAATTATACAAGTCCCATGAGAACCCTACAGGTATCCCGGTAAT